CCCCCATTCATGGAAAGCTCCTAAATCGAAAAACATAAATGAACATTAATTCAACCAACAAGTCATTTCCATTTAAGGTCACCTTTGAGTTCCTATGTACGTAACCTTTATCCGTGCTCGAGGTGGTCGCACTCTTGGGGGAGCCGTTCGAAACAACCCGGGCAGACAAAAGAGCGTATGGCCGCTACACGGACGCCTGTTTCCCGTTAGTCTGCACCCCGGAGGCATGCCTTCATCGACGCCTCGTTCTACGAAAACGGGTCCCCGAACCACGGCGTGTCGTTCGGCCGAAAGGCGCTGCCTCGCAAGGCACCCCGCGCTTCGAGCAGGACAATGGAGCGAAGGGGGTCGGCTCTTCCGAGCTCCACGAACAAATGCCTGCCTCCCCCCTCTATCTGTCGGGCGGTTTGAAGCATAGGAACCCACTCGACTGGCGAATGCCACAAAATGCAAACGAAGCTTTCGTTGCCTCGATTGCTGTTTGGCAATTAGCGATTTTCCGGGTTGCTTTGCACCCTTGTTTTTCCGTCTGCTTGTGCGGCGTCTTTTTCTTTTTGGACGTTGCCCAGTGCTCACTTTTGAGAAGTCCGCTTGCAACATTAGCAGAGCAGAACTTGTCTCGCTTGTCTCTTCGGCTATAATGCCTCTACAGTCGGGATTTTTCGTTAACTTGTGGACACCCTGACTTGCGGGAAGCTTGACTGACGGCTGAGCAATGCAAGCGTCTTCCTCGGGGCTGCGCCACTCGCACCTGGAAGAACTACTTGCCCCAACATTGCCCAGCTCGCAGTGTGCGTCAGCACCCGACTGTGCCCCGCTCTCTGTACAGGGGTCCTCACCTACCGGGCCGGAGGTACTGCGAACTTCACATTTAGCTGCTATGGCGACGCACAAACAGGGCGGCTGTGCCAAGTCCATTACAGATGGCATTTCTGCATTAACAAGACTCTCCAAGCACAGCGCCTCGTCGCCATCACTGAGGCCTTCAGTGGCCTTTGTGGCCACAACGGGACTTTCAGCAGCTAACTCCTTAGATTCACTTGTGAACCCGATGTTCGCCTCATCAGTACTGCTATTTTGGCCGGCTCTCAGCGGTTTGGCACCTACGGGCTCTTTGCCCTTTTCGTGCCTTGCATCCCAGGTCTCAAACATGCGCCGTCTACTTTCCATTTTCTGGCGCAGTAGCTGAACATGATCCTGGTAAGCCTGCTTGTTCAGGCCACGGTAGGTCACGCTACTGGGCGTTCCAGCGGCTAAGCTAGGACCCGACTGTGTGGCACACAGTCCCAAGCGCTCTTTTTCTCTCTGAATTCTAAGTCTTGAATTTTCTCGCTCCTGTTCCATCGAATATTCCAGATGTTGCCTGTACCTAATGCGTTCGGCATCGCGCTCCTCTTTAAGCCTAGTTCGTTCCTTTTCAACGAAATTATATAACTCCTTGCCTACAAAGCCAAAGGCTTTGCCCTGTTCAATTAGCCTGTCAAACACCGTGTCGTCCATTACTAGCACAGTTGTCAATCAACAATGCAATAACAGACCGGCTACACTCTGAACGCTCAGAGCTACGTCAGTCTCCCAGACATCACCACGTGGTCGGCCAGTCCTGTCGCGGACGCCAGATAATGTCACGCACTTCGGGTGAGGCCCCGCCGATCCAACATCGACGTGCGGCAGACTCGCAGGCTTCCACTTTACGCTTCGGCCCGCGACGCCTGAAAGGCCTCGAAGTGGTGCATTTCAAATTTATTTGCGGGTTGGCCGACCCGTGCGGGGTTGCACGTGTGGTGATGTGTGGGCCTGACCGACGCACTCATAGAGCAGACACGGAGTTTGATTACACATAACGAACAAGCATTTAATTGAAACAGGGGCAAAGGCAGGAAAATAACAGAGAGGAATAACACTGATGCGCGATGGAAAGAACCGCTACATAACAAAATGGGCCAAAAACACTACAAAAGATACAGGCTAACGACAAATATGCGGAACATTAATAAAATAACAACAAGATGGAAACCAAAGGAGAGGGATACAAGAAATTAATTACAGAGTGATCATTGGTAGCGCTTTCTAAATTTCAAAGTGCGTCGCAGCGCACAAAACTACAAATTTAAAAAAACAGGCTGGTTTAACAATTTAACAGTTTAAAAAAGTCACAATAAAAAGTTCCATACGGACCAGGCCAGCTCTTGGTGCACGTAGGGGAGTTGACGGGTGCCGTTGAAGGTCTCGCCGGCTTGGTAGACGACGAGGGTGCCCGGAATTGCAGCCGTCTCAATACGTTGCGCGGGTCACTCCGTGCTCGCCGCCTACGCGAGACTCGCGACACCGACGACCGCACTTGTTGCTGGTTGTACGTCAACTGCTCCTCCGATGCAGTTCAAACCTCTTCAGGGGCGTCCACGTGCTCCCATCTCATCTGGGAGTAATTCTCCTTGTTGAGACCACCGGTTCCCCTTCCGGTCAGGGGCAGGGAAGACGAGCCGGCGCCACGCTGGGTCGTTATAGTCGCCGGATGTCGTCTCCCAACACAAAAACGCCCTTCCTTGGAATATGGGGCCCGCGGATGCTCCGAAAATTGGAGCCGTTTGTGACACACGGTGAGTACAAACATTGGTAGAAATTTAAATGCGAAGGCGTTAAGAAGAAGCTGAAATTGGCAGCGTTGACCTGACGAATGCAAAAAATAAAAGTCTGTGTTCAAGCAGGAGTTTGCAGGCAAACTCCTGCTAAGACACAGACATTTCTGCTAGTACCGTCTGTTTGCGTGCAAATCGTGCCTTTCGTGACACAGCAATCGGCAATGGTGGCAGCAAAGACCATGTTGTTTGGGTTGTCGCAGATGCTTGCGAAGCCCCGCCGCGGTGGTCTAGTGGCTAAGGTACTCGGCTGCTGACCCGCAGGTCGCGGGTTCGAATCCCGGCTGCGGCGGCTGCATTTCCGATGGAGGCGGAAATGTTGTAGGCCCTTGTGCTCAGATTTCGGTGCACGTAAAAGAACCCCAGGTGGTCAAAATCTTCGGAGCCCTCCACTACGGCGTCTCTCATAATCATATGGTGGTTTTGGGACGTTAAACCCCACATATCAATCAATCAGATGCTTGCGAAGAATCCGATGACATCATCTTGTACATCTGACAAGATCACGACCCCGGTAGCGGTTAGAGTGCTGAGTTATGTAAATAAAGGTTTGTTTGCTACTTTTCAATTTCTCTGTTTTTAAACTAATAAAAAAACACATTGGGCGACCTATATTCGATTTAATTTTTCTCTCTGTCGTAGAACACTATAAGTAGGGGTCATCATTATAACTCATCATTCAACTCATCATTATAACTTACTCCTGACAACCCTGTCACAATAAACACCCTCGACTATCTGTTTAGCAGTGTGTGCAGCACAGTCCTGTTTCCACTGCTGTGAACATACTGCACACTTTTAATTAGCAGCAACTGAAATCGGTGCTAATGCACCATGTTACTGTATGCTGCCTGATACAGTCAGTCAATGGCCAATTTTTGAGACATGCTTGAATATTTGGATGTTTTCATCGCACCGCCACAAGCCCCATAAAGCCAGTGTATAAAAATGTCTGAAATGTCGAATGCTGAAACTAATGGGTGTCCGATGTTTCAGACTTTCTAGTCAAATTGTCGGTTTGAAGTAGTCATCTCACCGGCTCGAACCAACGCTTTCACATGTCCGTCTGTTTGCAGCCATAGTAGAGTCTGAAAGTTAGTTTTTTCACTATACCTAGGAATTGCAAGGTGGAGCATCTTGGCAATTTCAATGGGCCATTATCATTGCGCTAGTGTAGTGATGTCTTTGCAAATAAGCACCAGACGTGCACAGAGGCGTGATTGTGACAGGCAACAATTGTGCCAGTGCTATTTTGTTGTTGAAAATTTTATTGTGATGAGCATCTTCAGTTAACTCCTCAGTAGGACATGTGGTCTAACACACTTGTTAGCATACTGCAAGCTTTTAATAGATGATAGGCACCAAAATTCCTGCCTTGAGAACTATCTCAGATGTGGCTCGAGTGATTTGATTGTTGAAGTGAAATAAAAATACGTGATCTCATTTTTGATTTTCATTGTTTTGTCATTCTTAGTAAGTCCAAAAAAAAATATAGACATTGGCTTTAATACCATTCGTGCATTCATGCAAGAATTTTTCTGTGTTTTAATTTGTAGTTATGCCTTATTACTGGCACTCACTATAGATGAATTTTACTGTTATAATTGGCAGATTTTTTTCGTAAAGTAAATTTAAAAGTGGCATATTACGTATTACAATTAAATGAAATTCTTGCAGAATTTGTTCACCCACTTCTCAAAGTTTGAAAATAATGAGAAAAAAAGTGCACTAATGACGTGAGTAAATGGGGGAATGTAGCATTCAGCTTATGGTAAGAGACCATTATTGAGTGGAATAAGCTTCAAACACATCTAACGGGCTGCAGGACTGTTTCATTTTATTTCGCTTTGTGTGAACCATAGTGATGGCACGAATGCCACCATCAAGGACCTACAAATAAAGAAATAGGTGTGATTTATTGTATGACTTATTGCATGCATCTTTGAAGTTGGTGCTGCAGTCAAACCTGGGTATATCAAATCGGCAGGAGATCTTAAAAGAGTTCTGTATACAGGCACTGTATTTATTCTATTTTAATTGTAATGTGACCACTGTTTTAACGTGAGGGGTGAGCTTTCATTGCGCCCAGAAAGAAAATACAGTTATTTCATATTTCATCGTTGCACAAGGGTTGCCTTTAGGTAGCAAACATTTGGAAAAAACTGGCGTTACAACCGAGTAAATACAGTAATTGGAATGTAACATATTTCAGTGACATTTTACAACTGTTTAATATGCAGAATGACATGAATAATTTTTCATATTTGGGTTCAGCTATTTGTTTTGACAATGCGGACGAAGGGAGTGTGGAAAGCAAATGTGTCACACTGACGGGTGTGTGCATAATCTTACTTTTTGCAGAAGTACAAGCCCTTCAAAGGTGTCAAGTATGTTACGAAGGCCGGCAGGTTCCAAGTGAGAACGTGAAAAGAAGTCGAACTGCAACCTTGATAGGAGTGAGACGTAGCAGAAGTGTATTCTTCTAAGACGGGGTACCGTTCGTGTTCCACTTAACTTACGGTACAGCCTACGAAAAAGAAGCAAAGCTGCGCAGTTTGTGATTTCATCACTTGTGTGCGATGCTTGGCTTGCTCGAAGAAAATGAAAGGGTAGGATTTGCCGAACTGATAAAATTCTTCTCTTGAAGGTATTCCTGATGGACACGCGAAGAGTAGGGAAAAGTATGGCACTTTACATCCCGCTGGAAGACTGCAAATTTTTTTACGAAAGCTTCTGTAGTGGGAAAGCTGGAACTTTAACTTCTTTGATCTTTAACAAGTTGCTATCTGGCTTTTCAAGAGAATGCCAGCTTTTTGCCTTCCAGTGCTGTATAAGCTCTGTAACATTTGTCATTATTTTATTAGGAGTTCTTTTTGGGATATCTATTGGACTTGCAGAGGCAGGCAACAATTTTAATTCATGGCAAAAACATTTGAAGATAGAAAAATGTGTGAATGCCGTCCCAAATGTGTGGCAGTCATGACAGCTTTTGTAATGTGGTCCATCTAGTGGAAGTGCAAACTTTTATTCAGGAACAAATAGTTTAGTGTAAAGAAATGGCCTTTGCGGATATACTTGTTTTCTCTTTACATGTGTTGATATTTTAATACCATAGAGACTGGCTGTGTAGAGCCCGTTCGGCATTCTCCCTGGGTAGGGCTTTTAAATGCAGTGGCCATTAGGATGCTTCAGTGGTTGTACGCGCATCTATCAATGCTTTTGTCTGTGAAATCAAGCATTCTGATAACTACAAAGTGTTGACGCTTCGATTAAAAGCTTGAAATTTTTTTTTCTCATTATGAAATAACTTTTTACTCTTTTTGTGAAGTTATAGATTAGTGTACTTTTTATGTACAGGCAAAGTGAAATGTTTACAGAGTGCATGTTCCAGCAAATCAGGCCAATTTCATTTTATAGCGGTCCTGGGTACATAGGACTAGCATGAATAGCTATAATGGTTTGATAGGTTAACCGCAGAAGGTTTTAGAAGTTACGCAGGAGATATGAAACGTGCAGTATAAAGACTCAGTGCACACCTTTTGTCGCACTCGTTATTTATATATCTCGAACTAAACTGCGCAAGACAAAGCCCACGACACTTGGCTTTTACTATAGAATTCAGCCTGGATTCCCATATGAGGAGAACAAAAAGTGTGTGCCTGCGCATTGCCATTTATCTTGGGCAGTGAATCGGCGACATTCTAGAACAGGCGTAGTGGCTGTGATGATCCACTGGGGGACTACTGGTTAGTAAAGAGGCCGTGTAGCTGCTGTTAGCATTGTTGAAGACTTGCACAAACGCTTCAGAGCAGTAGGCTTGTGAACATCAGAAGGAGAAGAAGAAGGTATTTAATGAGAAGAAGGAGGAGAAGTTGGCCTTGAAAGCGGGTTTCTGGCCTCCTACTCCTCACAGGTGTAAGGGGAAAAGGCAGAGAAAGAGGAGGCTATGATGAGGGGTGATTGAGGCATTGGCAGGAGTCGTAGTTCTTTGTCCAAATGGCTTCTTCTACCATCACTCCCTTCACCATGACGCTGCTTCTTTTTCTAGCCCATGATAACAGTATGTAGCTCTTCTGTCTTGCTTTTTCTCTTCTCCTTCTGTGCGGTTGCATATGCATGAATTTTTTTCAGCACTGTTGATCATCGTCAAGGGAAGTTGAAGGCGTTGCAATATACTAGTGTGTGAGCACTGTTATAGTTTTACTTCGTATTTTGCCGGTTTTTTTTTAAGGGGAACTCCGGTGATTTTTTTATATTCACCAATTTTCATAAAACTTTCAGCATATGTTATCTTTGGCATCCTGATATTATGTGCCAAATTATAAAGCCATAAGTGAATTAGTTTTTTTAGAAACCAAATTTTAAAGTTGGTAGCCTATTCCAGAATCACAATTGTTAACGTGGGCCATCCTGTGTATGTGACAAGCTATATATCCAGTCTTTCTACCCCGCCTCACCCAGCAGACACATGCCACACATGCTGCCATCTACGAGGCAATGACAAGGCGAGAACACTTCAATTTTGTCTGCTGCATTGCATGTTAATCGTTGACATTGGGTCTCACAGTAATATTGAGCAATTAGGAGATTGATGCAGGGCTAGCGAAATCAAAAGGTAACACTTCCGCGTTCACATAGTAGCTGCAATCATTGCTGAACTCGTCACGGGTAAGTTCAGATAGGCTGGCACAGCTTGACTCAGCATTGGATTACATCGTCAGCTTGCTTTTCGCACGTTAGAAAGAACATGTGGGCTATGTTTACATTTTGGCCAGCCGTGTAGTCGTGGTTTCTTGATGTCATTGGATACCCACACGCAGCAGCCCCCCTGTTTCAGTTTTGACTCATTGTTTATTGCTTATTTAAAATTTTTGACGAGTCTCTCAGCAAAATGAACCATCCTGGCTATTAAAGGGCTGTTATTATTATTATTTGAAAATGCCATTATCGCCATATAGTGAAAAATGCACTGGAGTTTCCCTTTAAGCAGCTCGAAAACCGCCATGCAGCATGCATGTTTCCCCAAAAAATTAAGGTTGTAGATTTCCGGATCCCTTTTACAATGTTACAAAATGCACTTTGCCTTAACTTGAATATTAAAAATTTTCTATGCTTGATTTTAGTTTGCAAATTAAGTGGAATATATAAAAAAATATTCTAAGGAGCACCACAAAGCTGCAAACCTTATGTCATCGGTTTCACTCAGCAGTGATTAAAACTTTTTTTTGAATGCTTGGTACAAGTTACTTGAGACACTGTATATTATAACACTGAGCATCACTGTTAGCAACCTTCAGTGCACAATTGTAGACACGACACCATGCTTCAATGGAAATGAAACCAGCTGTTAACTCAAGTAAACCTCTTGCTTTATTCGCCTATTTTGTGATAGGCACCCATAGCAACCTAGAGGGGGTGGCACTGTCTAATGCAGGCCTATGTGCGTGCCTGTAGGACAGGGTGACAGTCCTTTGAAGTTTTTCTATTAGATGAGCTGCACAGGAGTGTTGGGTGATAGAACTAGCACAGAAAAAGCTAGCAGGCATCACTTCAAAAGAATGGTGCAAAAAATATTCAGCATTTTTTTTTTTTTTTTTTCAGATTGCCATTTTTTCTGAACTTTTGACCCTGCCTGTATATGGTTTTGTGAAGGGCTTCTGTAACCCTAATTCTTAATTTTGTTAGCAATTAACTCAAATTGTATTTGCTTTTGACAATTCAAGTAGTAAAAGTCATGGAGAATGACTAATTTTTGTGGTACTTTGTACAAGTTTCAGATATGATAATCTAATGTCGCGTTGGTGAGGACGATGTCTTGTAAGCATCCTATTGTTTTGTAACACAGCGTAATAATGGTTTGAAGCAAAAGGCAATGAATAGCCTACCAGCTTCCAATCTCCCTGGACTGTCATAAGACTTCCATTCTAAGCAGCTGTTAATTGATTGTGGTTTGTTTAGTAAAATTTATGCTGCATTGGATTGAAAATGTATTAAATGTGTTGAAGTTATGTGCTTGAGTTAGTGGGCATATTGGAACCTTGTGCCTTGGTATGTTCAGCATGTTTAGTCATTGAGTTACGTGGTATATAAATTGTATTTCCTTTCAACTCAAGTTGGTGTCCTGTAATCTTTTTGGCAAAATTGATGCTCTGGCAAATCTTTCACTGTGCTCTCATTGTGCGACCACCATGCATGGCACACATAGTAGTAATACACAGTTTCAATAGTCAGTTTTTGTTGGTATTTTGATTGATTTCGATAATTATTTGTTTGTGAAATGTATCCCATCGAGCACATAGGCTGTCTAAGTAGCTCCCAATCATTCTACTGCAATTTCTTGAGAAGTCTGCCAAGTACATGACATTTTGGACGGCAGACTTAGGAAAGTGTGCTTGGTTCTTGATAGGTTTTAACTTCTATGTGATACAGACTTTCTCATGTGCATTGTGAACTGTTGAATGCTGCTAGGAGCTTCAGAAAGGGGGCCAGTTGGAGCTAGAAGTCGAAGGTTGGTGGCAGTTGTGTTTAGAAACTGTGAGAAAGGGCTCAAAGTGGTGCAAGTTTCATACAGAAAAATTGCGCATTCTTCTCAAGGAAGTTGCGCTTTGAGCAAGAGAACCTGAAAACACGATTGCATGGAAGATCACTGAGCATGGTAGATGACTGGTTTATCAGCCAGCATGGAGCTTGCAGTGTCACATCAGAAATTTACTCGGAGGCAGCCTTATGTGGCTGTCTTTAAGCTGTAAAAAAACTAGAATTAAGCCTAGTCGCATAATTGGCTAGCGTCTGTATAAGTCTGCTCTCTGTACGGGAGCACAACCGTACCAAAAAGGCACTGCACACTGGAGGTCGGCGGCAGAAGAGGATACCTTTTCGTGCTTAGCCAAATTACGTGACACTACTTCCTAGCATTTCTTACCTTCATGTGAATTTGAATTTGTTCACGTGACCAATGAGGCCAACCTCAGAACGACCTCCCCCCATTCAAACCACTGTCTCGATAATGGTGATGTTCATCACTGCGATGGCGATGATATGGACACACTAGGAACATTTTAGCTGTTGCCGTGAGGTTTCATATCAAGTCTGAATTGATAACATAATCCTACGTGCAGCATGTGCCATGTGCGAGTTCAAGTGTGTGTTAGTGGCCCACGATCACAGCGGAGAGGAAATGCGCCGGCTACCGATTGTCGTGCAAAAGACTTATGGGGAGTCCCGGAGGAGGAGCTGCGCTGTTCCATACTTGGACAATCCAGGCGTGATCGCGTGCGTGTTATCTTGACAAGGATCTGCAGACGTCATATACCTTTCTACGTCAAGATGTACTTATGGGCTAGTTTGCTCATACCTACTTGCAGTATAACACCAGCAAAAACAAGGGACCAGGTGTGGGGGAACATCATACATGTACACAAGGCGCACTAACAAATGAAAGTTTATTCAGTAATTGTGCAGTATAAACACTGGCTCTTCATGAATAAACTGAAGAAAACTACAAGAGATATGACAATGCTTGGGCACTCCTCATGCATGCGCAAAACGGTTTTCATTAGAAATCTGACATCTTTCTATGACAGCATAACAGTAGTAAGACGGTAAGTTGGGCCAGTTGGTTACAATTCATCGTGAACTTACAACGCAACACCAGAAAAAATACAGGACAGGGAAGGTCTTTTGCTCCTTCCCTGTCCTGTATTTTTTCTGGTGTTGCGCTGTAAGTAAGTTCACGATGGCAGCATAACAGATGGCATGCTGACACAAGATTTTCGGAGCTTAATAATATCTAAGGCTTCAACAACCTTCCTTGTTGTTCTGTGAGTTGATTTGGATATCATGCTGTTTTTATTCAAATGGAGGTGCACAATCGCAATTCCCACAGTGAACAGCTAGTTCCAAAATGTGCAACTTACAGGCACAAACTTTTGTCATCAAAATGAGAGCATGTCAGGCTGTCAGAAGACTACAGAAGAAGCACTGGTGTGATTCAAACTCGCGATTTGCTCATTACATAACAGGCACTTTAACCAACTAAGCCATGGCAGCACATGGTCGCTCAAGAAAATCTGACCGACACGCTCACAAAAACGAATAATTGATCTGCAACAACGAGTTGTCATAGGTAATTTGTTAACAAATTAAAACAATATGGCCTAATAATTTGCATACATTGTTTATTCATGTTTTATGGCACGTATTATGGTCTTAAAATACTGGCTTTTTTTATTGCAAAAACTCATGTACAGTTCCACGGTACAATATACAGTTAGTGAGCAAAATAATAAAAGAAAGCATGCCAGGTTGTTAAAAGACCACTGTTACGTTTGGCCTGGCAGTTCATCTTAACCGACGTCATTGTGCGTGAGCCGGTCTGTAAGGATGCTTTCACTTCTATATTGGCGCCAAGTCGGAAGCACCCCGCACGACGCTGTCCTGCAGGTAGGCCAAGCAATTTGCTGTGGTCGGGTCACAATGAACTCGACAGAAGCTTCCCGAACAACCCTTTTGTTGAACGGGGTCGACCAGCGTGAGACGGCGCCACTGTTGCAGTTTTCATGCGGTCAACCTCTCCACACAGCCATTGTCGCCTACGCGAGGTCGTCGCAGAGCACTGACAGTTCGGAAGCGTGGGAAGGCGTCGCAGTAGCCGTTTTCAGGAATCGAGCACCTGGACTATCATGTTCGAGATGGTTCTGGAACTCTGCAGCTCAACGCAGCCATGGACCGCTACTGACGTTCGTGTCAGCAGCCATCTTCTCCCCCGAGGAGCACAACTTTCTCCTCCACGGGGCTCTACCTCCTCACCCTACGATATCTTCAAGATGTGGGCCGGGTGCGTCATTGTGTGGTGCTCTCGTGCTAACCAGTGGACATTTTCACCCATGTTCTTCTTCTCACAAGTAGCCCAATTTCTGCACCCTTTGTGGTGGGTGGACCACTGAGACTTCACGTCAGCTGATTTGTGGCAGCAGTGATCACCGCCTTCTTCAGACCTCCGTGTAAGAGGACGACGGGCTGTAAAAGCCGAAGACATTTTGTGCATATGAGCTGAATCTCGGTTCAGTTCCATCATATTTCTTCCATCATGTAAATAAACCTTCGTTCTTTCTCTAAGAACGCATCTTCTCATTGGCAAAGATCAGCTATGCGAACGACGGCAGGGAGCCAGCTACCGTAAAGATACCTGCCTTACCTGCCATCAACCTTGAGCCCTTTACACCACATAAAGAAAAAGCACCGGTGTGATTCGAACTCACGATCTCCTGTTTGCGAGACAGGTGCTTTAACCAACCAAGTCAAGGCAATTCTTTCAATTTATTGCCTGCTTTGACAATACAATAATAAATCACAGCATATATCCACAGAGTGAATAATGAATGGGGCGAAACGTCCGTCTGTCTTTCTGTGGATATGCTGTGCTGGCTACGCCGGAGGGATGAACTGCCCCAGACCATTAGGAGCATCGCCCTAATATAAACACATTGACATTGTAGTTGCACTAAAATCATATGAGCACCTTGAAATTGTTTGAAGTTTGCAAAATCATCTAGAAGAGCCACCCAATCATGGGGCTCGGCTTGTGCCCGGTATTTTTCTCTACCATGTGCAGTACTCACAATAAAATTTTCCCATACCGTGGAAACTTTGGCATCAACATGGCGTACTGCCATTCTTCTTTTCCACAAACTGTGGAGGCTCGGAAGCATGAACATGTGGTAGCGTATTCCATCACATGTATTAGTGGGCAGAAACCATATACCTATGGGTGTAACTGCTGGATATTTTTTAAAAGTTTGTTTTAGTGTCCCAGTGGAAGGCTGCATCTAAGCAGTTCATGAAAGCATGATTGATTGTCTCTGGTTTTTTTTTTTTTTTTTTTTACACAGCAAGCAGTCACCTGTACATGGTACATCAATACCTTTCTTCTCTGACTTGGTTTTTACCGATGACATATTGGTATGCAATTGATAGAAAAATGATTTAACTGTAGATCGAACCGGCATCCTTTCAGCACGCTTCAACACATCATTCCCTGGATTTTCTGTAATAACAACTCTGTATATTTGTACTGGTAACATTACATAAACTAAGTCTTTATGCAACGTTTTCCAGGTAACTTTAGACAAGTAGTCCCAAAGAGTAATACACGAAATGACCTAACCACTTCACACATGTGCTTATGTTTTTCCCTTCGTACTCGCAATGTGTAATGACAACACATCAATAAAACATATACACATATTAACACATTGTAGTCACACTAAAAGAACATGGTCAGCTCAAAATTGTTTGAAGTCTACAAGATCGTCAATGACAGCCAGCTAATCTGGGGGCTCGGCTTGTACTCGATATATTTCTCTAACATGTGCAATACTACTAATGAAATTTTCCTGTACTGTGACAACTTTGACATCGAGATGGTGTACTGCCATTCTTGTTTTCCACAGGCTGTGAAGGCTCAAGAGCATGAACATGTCGTATGGTGTTCCATCACATGTATCAGTGGGTAGAAACTGTATACCTATGGGTGTAATTGGCAGATTTTTTTGAAGAGTTCGTTGTAAAATATCCCAGTGGAAGACTGCATCCCAGCAATCAATGAAAGCATGATCAATTGTCTCCGATTTTTTACACAACAAGCAGTCAATAGTCCACGGTACGTCAATATCTTTTTACTCGAACCATGTTTTTACTGGTAGGGTGTTCTTGTGCAGTTTAAAGAAATACGATTAGCTGTTGATGCAACAAACATCCTTTCAACACACTTCAACACATCATTCGCTGGACTTCCTGTAATAACAATTCTGTATATTGGTACGGGTAACATTACATCAACTAAGTCTTTATGCAACTTTTTCCTGCTAACTGTAGACAAATATTCCAAAGAGTAATACACGAAACGACATAACCACTTTACGCATGTGCCCACACTTTTCCCACCATACTCTCAGTGCATAATGACTTAATTCTGGCAGAGCATTTGCCAGCTGTACCTGCCTGACTGTAAGAAATCATTCTTTTTATCTCGTAAAAAAAGAAAACATGACACAAGTTGCTTGATATACAAGAGAGCAAGCCCCCAGTCCATTCCTAGGAATTGACCGAAAC